GATATATTTGGATTAAGAATTAATATTCCAATTGGTTGATTTGCAGGGAGTTCTGCACAGTATTTAGATGCTAATTACTGCACAATTAGAGGGCTAAGGTCAGACGGATCCTCCAGCACCGGAGCACAGAAATACACAGCATTAAAATATCAAAATTATCTACAAACACAAATCCAAGGAGGTCTTTAAAAAGACTCCCACACAACGGTTTCTGCAGTTCAAAGGTCAAACTTTGCTCTTGCTAATTGCACTTAAGTCAAAGGGAACAGGATTTGACCAGAATGACTGCAGAGCAGAGCAGTGGAGATTATATACATGCCTCCTTGTGCTGTGAGCCAGCGTGCCCACTTTTGGGTTTTTGACATTTACACTCCCTCATTTTCTATATGGCTAAACACCACATGTGCCCATTCAACATTTCTCACAGACTGCCACACAACAGATCTGCATACTTCTTACGCAAATGCACAAGGAGAGATTACTCTGTAAATAGAGATAATAGTGTATCTATCCATTCTTACATCTTTCTCTGAAATCTATCTGCAGTAGAAAGATTTCTAGGCTAAGAATGCTGACTTCAAAAGCCAGATCAATCCTAAAGCATTTGAGAGCTGGCTGTACATAGAGGGCACAGTCTGTTTTAATACCATCACATCTTATTATCAGAACCTTTCCAAATGCAGGCCATTGCACATGCACCGATTTCTACTTTTCATAAGCTGCAAAGAGGTAACTCGGGTTCTTTCCTAGTTTGAAACATCTGAAGTCTGTCCTGCATTAGGTGTAAGTTTTTATTCCTCCCCAGGAACAAGCTATCTCAAAGGCACTACTTCTGCATTTGACGCTGCTGAAACTATATTTAAATGAAATGATACAGAAAGAAATATCTGCTTTTGTCTTTGGCCAAAGAGTGGCAAGAAAACACCACCTGGGGCTGTAAGAGGAAGATGGTCCCTGCCCAAAGCTGCTCCTGAACCATTCGGGTCTGTGCCAGCCCCAGCCCATCCCATGCTGCTGCTGCCCCTGCTCTGTCATCACTTGTGGGAGGGGAATCTTCCTTCAGTCTGAGTGATGAAGGGGCCTTGTCCTAAATAACAGGATTAGCTTCACTGCTCAAGTGAATGGTTGCCTGCTCTACTCAGCTGTGACCAAAGCAACATTCATCAACAGCTGCAGAACACCTTCTTTGTCCTTCCAAGCAAGGAAACAATCGGACTAAGTGGAACTTTCCCCCAGTAACTAAGGCCACATACAACTTGGGAAATGGAGGGAAAGTTCCACCAGACTTTGTTTCCCAATAGCCCCTTGCAGGGCTGTACTCAGGCCAGCTCTGGTCTCCAGGCTCCATGCCAGTGTCAGTGCAGCGCTGAGATGCTGCTGCCTCAGAACACAGCATTCTTGGAGCTCAGGGATCTGCTCATGCCCTTCAGAGAGAGCTGGGCTGCCACTGGCCAGCAAGAGAGTGCCTATGGTGGGTCCCCAGCCTCATGGTTTCTTGTGGAGGAGCCCAAATGAGGTTCATGCAATGCACAGAACTGCTTGGGCTGGTCCCACCACTTCTATCTGTTCCAGCTTTCCCCAGAAAAGACTTAGTTCTTTTAGTTCTAGAGAGGACTGAAAGATCCAGTGCCTATCAGGAATAAATCTTTTACTGAAATCGCAGAAATCACAGAATAGTTTGGGTTGGAAGGAACCTAAAAACCATCTGGTTCCAATCTCCTGTAATGGGCAGAGACATCTCCCACTAGATCATGTTACTCAAAGCCTCAGCCTAAGTGGCCCTGAACACTTGGAAGGATGGAACACAGAATGGCTTGGATTGGCAGGGACCTCAAAATCACCTAGTTCATATCCTTCTGCTGCAGGCAGGGTTGCCAACTACTAGATCAGACTGCTCAGGAGCCCACCAAGCCTGGCCTTGGATGCCTCCAGGAATGGGGCATTCACAGCCTCTCTTGTCAGCCTTCCAGAGCCTCACCACTCTCTGAGGAAAGAATTACTTCCTAACATTTAACCCAAACCTCCTGTCTTTCAGTTTAAATCTATTTCCTCTTGTTCTGCCACTATCTACCTGTGCAAAAGGTTCCCCTCCTGCTTGTAAGCCTCTTTTAAGTGTTGTATGGTCACAATGAGGTCTCCCCAGAGCCTTCTCTTAACCAAGCTAAATGATCCAGATTCCCTCAACCTTTCATCACAGGAGAAGTGCTCCTGCCCTCTGACCTTTCTGGCCCTCCTCTGGACCCATTGTGCATCCTTATTGTGGGGGCCCCAGGCCTGGACACAGTACTCCAGATGGGACATGCACAAACTTCCCTACAGTTTTCATACTAGTTGTACTTTGAATTTCTAAGAAATATTTTCCTCCCTTGATCTTCTATAGCATGGATGCTCCATGGCAGTCAGGAGTATGATGAGCTCAGGGCATAAGAGTTCTTTTAAAATCAACATTGATCCACCATAACTGGGGATTGCTAGGATTTATATTGGGCACAAGAGCTGTGTTAATGGATAGGCCTTGACAAACCTGATTTACAGATTAAAATAACAACACTGTAGCATTTACAGAATGTATACATTTAAAACTGAACTGTACTAGCCATAACATCTCGGATGCTTTTGTTACAGCTGTGTATGGCAGCAGCACAATGCAGCAGCTAAGCATCACAATTAATAATCTCCAACTGCAACACATTCAAAAAATCAGAGTCCCTTTTGGAGTGTGTTACCAGGTGTCACATCACATCACACTTCCTTCAGGCAATGGCTCAGACCTGACATAAACAGATGTGAAAGACAAAACTCAGAACCTTTAGTGATACAGATTCAAAGAGATACCAGGTGGTCTTAATATTCAGGTTTAACTATTGTTCTGTACAGTTTATTTATCATGGGGCTCTCACTTTTCTTTAGCCTGTGCATCCACAGAAAAAAGGGTCACTAAGCAATCTAGTCCTTAAGCGTGGTTATATTAAAATATTTCCACACTACTTGAAATTAGGACTTATCCTGTATTCAGAGATGTTGACAGTTAACATGGAAGAAGCCAATTCCAAGCCAGTGATGTCCAGGATGACCAGATCTGCCCTTGGCCAGCAGGCAGCTCCCCACATATCTAACCCACCACCTGCCTCTGTGCCCTGATGGAGAGAACATGGCGCCACATCTTTCAGTGCTGCAACAAACCTGACAGTCGACACCAAAATATTCAAATTATGAGGCAGATTTAAAAGTATTTTCCTTTTTTTGTGAAAGGCTCTCACCAGGCAGAGAAAACAGGACATTCTGCTGTACTGGTTCTCTCTCAAGTGCAACGGAAGCTTCCCAATTCATTTCCAATAAAGGGTGCTGCTGGGTCAGCAATTCCTGTTCTGATTTGGACCAACTTATACTGGGAAAAGCAACACTTGAACAATGCAAGGGGTCAGCTGAGGAAGCAAACCCACGATGTGGGATCTCTGCCAGGGTGAGGCTGTGGTTCCCACTGCGGCTCCCCCATTAGACACCAGTAATCACTTTGCACACACTCTCATCTATGCCAGGTTTCTGCAATTAATGATGAAGTCAGGTGCTGCTGGAAATAAAAATCCCCAGAAGAAATTCTCAGAAAAGCATGCAAATTGAATACTGTTAATTGTGGCTGTTACGACAACTGTATTAAATTTGCAGCATCTTTTGATTGTACATGGCAAGAGATAGCATTGGCACTGCACTGAAAGGAAATAGCTAGTCAGAGAGCAAAACAAAAGCCTCCATCTCACATTGAGCAATTAAGCATCCTGCTCACCTTGTTCATCTGAGTAGTAACCACTGGCGTGTATGCAAGTCAACCATCATCCTTAACCCCTCCTCAGTGGGATGCACAGATCACCATCCCCATTTTGCAATTAGGGAACCTGAAGCCCAGGTTTAAACGCTGCTGAAGTAGCAGAGATGAAAATCATTACTGTCATGGTCCTACACAATTTCCATCCAACCCAGAATAGTGAGAGCTCTGTAGTGAAGTTCCTGCCCCACAAAAATCAATAGCTAAACTCCCTCCTTACCCCTGTTCCTATTCACTGAACCATAATAATGACAAGGGAGCTATTTGCATGTTCAAAGAAGCAGAACTGAATGCACATAGACTCCTTATAATTAGTTTCACTGCGGCTGACTGTAAAAACACGTAATTTACGTTCAAATAATTTATACTCTTTAAAACTCCTGAAATGCCCCTCCTGTTTTCTTGAGCTCAAACATAAAAACTTGCACCGTTTGGCTGAAAAGTGCTCAACACAGAAAGGTGGAATGCTGGGCTCTGGATGAACATATTGCGAGCCTGAAAGCTTTATAATCAATTAGCATCCTACTGGAAACCTGACAGCCTGTCGTGACCCATTAGGAGGTATTCTGTGCTCTCAATATCTGTGGGTATTGGGACCATTTACACAGATACCAGGTAAGCTCTTACAAAGCAGAATATGATAAGGTCAGCTCTTTGTTTTATTTCTAAGTGCTTTTCCAAGATGTTTTTTCTCTCTGGTGGAATGAACATGGCAGTGGAGCTAAAAATGGCAACGCTGTATTTCAGGTAAGTGGGTTGAAAAGTCATTCTCGCTGGGAAATGAACTCATGACCTTTTCAATGAAAGGTAAAGCTCAAGTCATAAAAGTTTGCATTTAAGATGCACTAAATATATCGTTGACTAATAGCTCAAGAGGGCAATAACAACATAGCCTGCCTAACAGCTCATGCTAATGCAAACATAATGTGCCATGTAGAAAGAGATTAATCAAGTTTTCCTACTGGAAAACTGACAGCCTGTCGTGACCTATTAGGAGGTATTCTGCACTCTCAATATCTGTGGCTACAGGGACCACTTATGAGCTGACAAACTTGGGTGACTGGTAATACTACACCGGACAAAAATAAAGTCAGAGATGGGTGTCACATTTCTGGTCCTTTCCAGCATTCTGCTTATAGACATTTCCCTTTCATTTATACTCTGCTGTGTACGACACTGTGTGCACACATAGCTTGTTTTAATTGCAACACAGTGCATCTGCTGTGTAGTTAAAGTAGGAACCTGTACTAGTTTGCAAGGTTTTCATCAAAGAAGCACCTTTAAAACTGCTAAGTCCATTCAAACCATATCTGATTTCTTTCACAAAACCAGAGAAAGCAGCTCAGTTCAGATTATAATTTAAGGTCAGCAATGAGTAAATAAGATTTAATGACAATATCAGCACTCTTTGATGAGGGCAACCTCAAGTCACTGGCACATCTCTTCTATAAATTGGAATCCACTCTGATTAGACTCCATTTCGCATGCTGGTGTGCGTTATTCAGTTAATTCAGTGCTTATATGAGCTGTACTTAATGAGGCAACATGCGTGCCTTCATTTTTAAGCAAAACCTTATCTACATGTCTATAGCTGATTTCATAAGTGAGATCCTCAGACCCTGCTTGCTCAGGTGAATCTGAGAGTTTGAAAATCCCATATCCTGCAGAAGTGGAAGGTAAAATATTGCTTCCTAAAACCTAGGCTGCCACGTGCAAAATGCCGTGCAAAATAAAAGATTAAAAAAAAAAAAAGGAGTCTTCCACAGAGTGATAGCTTCAGCTGTCTTGGTTCTTCTCTGCTGTGTTTATGAAGGCAGTGTTTCATCTCCTTCTTGTGCATATCACATTGATTATTTTCCCAGGGAGTTGCTGGGTGAGGTAGTTAAGTAAATACTAAAATTTTAAGCAACAGTTTCACATAGCTATGTTCAAAAGTAAAGTATGTTTCAGTGATTTAGAAGCTCTTGAGTTAATAGGTTTACTGGCCTTATATAGCTCCAGTCCATCAGAAAATACTGGGAGATTAATTCACCACCTCCTGCCCCAGCTACTGCTGTGGCTATTTATCCAATGCCAAAGGCTAACAGATCAGAAGGAGGGCCCAATGTATTTCTTTACGTGAAATTACAAGGTATGCTGTTACAATGAGCTGGGATCTATAAGCTGGTGGAGGCTGTTCCATTCAGCCCTTATTATCATTATCACCTTTTGTAACCCAGAGACTCCACAAATCATGATTATTTTGATTGAATCAAACATTACCCACTTGATAAAAAAAAAAATCGGTAAAGTAGATGCACAACCATAGTATATTTACCTTTATTTTTCCTGACAGAAACAGTGTAAAATATCTTTCTATAACAAAACATTTAAGAAATCACTTCAGGTACAGATGCTTCCCACAGTAGTACTATGGCAGCTTAGGGCACAGATTTAGCAGCATAACAGATCTGTGCCTACATTGGAGCCCCTTTTGGGTTCATGCCACATCTGATTAGCTTGATACTAGCTTGGGCAAATGAATCATGAATTACAGGCACACCTTTCACTGCCACTCAGGAATATTCTATGTTAGGAATGACAATTTCAAAATATTTTGAAATTATACTTCATTTTTGGACATGATATTTGAAAGCAGGCAATATTAGTCAGTTAAACTAACTTCTGGAAAATCACTTTTTATGATAGGAATCCTTCTTTAACTCACAGTCTCAAGTATGACAGTTGGCACAGTTTAGTCTAGAGGTAAGACATTAGGCTTGCTTTGTGATTGTATTACTGACATGCAGTAATAGTGATGTGTAAAATAGTGAATAAATATAGTGATGAAATAGTGATGAAAAGTCACAAACTGTCGCTATGAACTTTGATGGGCTGCACTATTCCACCAAATTAGTTTTGCTATAAAATACTTCTATAAGCTGAGATTCAAACTGATTTGCAATGAGATCTCAGATAAAACCAAATATTTACATCTCAATATCCATAAAAGAAAGTTGCACAAGTACAATCTGAACCATGATAAAACTATAAAGTTTCATCTACACAGCATTATCAATAAAATCAGGCATGTCTTACGGATTTGAAGTAGCCCCTTACACTTTTGTATTTACTTCCCCACATCATCATTACAACAGAGGTGTACCTGTACGTGCCATGCATTCTCACAGAGTATCGTGTGCTTCTAAATTTAAATCTTGGACACGAGGCAATAAAGAGTTAGAATTCCTAATTCATAACACTTCTTAACTGTTCCCACTCACCTAAACCCATATTACAATTCAGCATTAGACACCACCAGTACCGCAGAAGAAAGCCTAACATCTCTTTACTATCCCAGAACTAAGGTAAGCTGCAAGTAAGAAATGGGAGCTACGTACGCTAACGTGCCAAGCCTGCTCCCCTCAAACCACCCTGCACCTGCTGAATGTTATCTCCTCCTTGCACTCACCCTGCCTTCCACCTTTGCCATTGCTAAGCCTAAGCAAACCCATTCTCCAATATGCCCTTTGTGTGCTGCCAATGTCCGGGTGAAGAAAATACCGTGTCCCTCTCCTGACACTATGGACTCAAACCTGTGGTGTACTTTTCCAAGGCAGGATACCTTACTCCCTGTGTTCTGCTCACATGGCTGCCAACCAGCTGTGCAAATCCCAGAGCATGCGCTTGCAGTGCAGGCTATCAAAACAACGTTGGTGGCTGCTCATACTGGTCTTCCCTCTGTGCTTTTGGACACTTATTTACTGACTTCTTTGTGAGAACTCACTTTTAGGCACAACTGTACAGCTAGTGGGGCAGACAGGACCTTAACTGAATTGAACATATCAAAAGTGGGGTTAGAAGTGGCTTCTGCAGACCTCCATCTAGTCCAAACTTTCATTCAAAGCAAGTCTAACTTCAAAACTGCATGATGCTTCTCAAGGATTTGGTCAGCTGCTTTTCTGAAAACCTCCTAGCATAGTGATCTCAGAACCTCTCTGAGCAGCATGTTCTCTGCTGCAGTGCTCTCACTGTGAAAAATTATTTCCTTGTCCAGTTAAAACTTCTTTTATTGCAACTCGTGTTTATAGTTCCTTGTCATTTCACTGGGTAATCCTAAAAAGAATTTGGCTTCACCTTTCATACAACCCCCTTCTTTAGGTAGTCAACCATAGAATTGAGTTGGAAGGGACCTCTAAAGGTCATCTGGTCAAACACCTCTGCAATAAAGAGAGACACCTACAGACCCACCAGGGGCTTAGAGTCCTCCAGCCTGTCCTTGAGTGTCCCCAGGGATGAGGCATCCACCACCTCTTGAGCAAGAAAGATAGATGATATCCTTCTGAGCCTTCTCCTCATCAAACAAATCCAGCTCTCTCTTACATCATATACTTCAGCCCTTGACTACTTTAGCAGCCTTCCATTGGACTCTTGTGCTAAGTCATCCCATACTCATTGTCAGTATTTGAAATGCAGACTCAGACATGCCAGCAAAAGGGAAAGATCAGCTCCCTCGCCCTGCTGGGTCTCCAGCCAGCTGTGGTCTCAGCAAGGTAAGAGCACTGCAGAGCAACCTTAGGCCTACATTAACAGTTTGTTTTGGCTTGACACTAATAAAGGAAACCAAGATTTTTCTGTAATCATATATGTTTTGCCCATTATTCTCTTTCCTTACCATTTTCCCTGTAAATTCAGATTACTGTGACATCTTGGCAGGGCTGTTTTGTGGCAGCTCTTTCTCAATTCAACAAAAGCAACGTGATAGGAAGCAGAAGAGATTGCAATACACTAACATTTTAAATGTGTTTTTGAAGAGGCCTTTGGGCACAGATGTTCCATAAAACTGTATTTATTATTATAATAATCTGCTGAAGAGTGCAGCTGTTTATTCAGGGGTCTGAATATTGAAAACTCCCTAAATCTAATGATTCCTTGTCTGCCCCACTCACTGCACTTCCAACACTAATAAGAAATACAATTTTGAAAAATCTGTATATACCAACATATCATAGAACACCATGGAATAAATATTGACTTAGAACATAAATACTGCTATAAAAACGTCTTTCAGAAGGAATCTCTTCAAAGTACAAGTGGTATCAAAATAACTACTGAGGAAAAGACTGAAACCTATAACACAGGCATTATTTGAGCTTAATGCCAAATTGCAGTACATCAAGAGCAGATACCTGCAAATTCTCTGGCTTGCAACAGCACTGACACATGGCCAAAATACTCTGGTTGAACGGTTTTGTTTGACACTCTGGAGAAGAAACGTAAAGCCCGCAGGACTTTTAAAATGCTGCTGGTCTGATCAGTCAGCAATTTGGTACAATGGTACCGGTCACAATTTTCTCCTGTTACTTACTAGGGGAACAACTAGAAAATCAGAAATGTGAAAAATCCAGAACTGCACCACTAATCTCATCCAATATGCCACCACGAAAGGCTTTTTTATCATTCAGATCAGAGATTAGAAATTCCTGGAAAAAAAAAAAATGAGATGTATACTATTCTCATCTGTAGCCACGAGAGTTTTGCCTGACTGTAATGATCTCCTCTGATTCTGTTTCCTGGAAAGCTGAGTGGGATCTGGAGCCTTCCTGTCCCTGCTGTGCAGGTGCCACAGCACGAGCTTCTTTGGAGAGCCTTCCCTTGTGCTCAGCCTGCGATATCGGAGCACGGGAGCCCTGAGCACCTGGCTCTGCAACCAGTTGTTGGGCACAAGGCTGCGCCTTGCCTACTGCAGATGACACTCTGAACAACCCAAATCACAATCATTGCTTTTATCAGCCTCGAGAGAGTTCAAATTGGCATTTATTTAAAGCTGTATGTAAAACTATTGTCAGGAGCAAGCTTTGCGGTGTCTCCAGAGGAAACTACAGCTCTACAAACTTCCTTCTGAGCCTGCTCTTGTAAACTGTCTCTCTGCTCTTTCCGAGAAATCCAGATTTTTTATATCCACCCAGTAATGGAAGTGTTATTTTTGGAGATATTGAATTCATATGCTATTGCAATTCCAGAAACATTGTATCCCACTGTAGAAAAGCACCGTTTGCTCATCTGTTTGTGAACTTCTCAGTCTGTAGATGGCTGAAATCCTCTATCCTATTTGCAGAGAAGTCTAAGCGAAAACTGTTAACTACTCACTATTTTAATATTAAATACCCTAATTTCCTAAACAATGCATAGAGAAACTACTTGTTTGCTGCTGTCACAGGAGAAGCTGACTTTTCAGATGGGAAAGGGTTTGTGTCGTCATGAAGCAAGACCCACACACTGAACTCCCACAGTTACTGTACTGAACCCACAGCAAGATGACCCTCTGGAGAAGTGCTTGAGCTTCTTCCTTCTCCTTCACTCTTCCCAGCCAGGCACAGATGAGGCTAACACCCACACAACAATGGCAGTGTGTTTCACAGCAGCTGTGCTCCCCACAGCAGGTCAGTGCCCAGCCTCACTGCCCATGCAGTGCATTTTGTGGGCTCAGGAAATCCCTTCCAGCAGCCTGGGCTCAGCCACTGCCCAGACAGTGTCACTCACATCCTGCCTCCTCAGCTTCCAAGTGTGCACATTCCCCAGGACAGTCATACATTTCAAGGATGAAGAGGTCAGAAGAACAAATGAAGTTAATCCAGACAGAGGTGTTTCTGGCTGTAGTACGCATTTTGTGGTAATAAAAGATGCAGAAACCACTGGTCCTCTCAGTAGAGCACCAGCTGGCTCCCCTTGCTGCAGTAATAAGCTCTGCTCTAAAATCCTGGGCTTCCATGTCTTGTACATCAAGTATACAATCACTGACTGCTCTACAAACTGCTTACAGCCACATCTGTGGTTCTGAGATTCCACACAGTTGCTGATGCACAACAAAAATCCCTGACCTGAAGTTGCTTTGTTTTGAGAGTACTTTCAGGTTCTGTCTGTTAGAGCAGCAATGGCTTATGTCTCCAGAAACTTTCACTCTGCCATATTTCATACCTTTTTAACGAGAGTAACATGCGAGGCATGGTTATGGAGTGTAAAATCACACTTAGCATAAGGTCTGATGCCACAGTAGATTAAGAGTGGAAAGAAGAGTTGAAGTAGTAGTAAAAGTGAGTGCAGCAACACACAACGCTGCTTCTTCCAGTACATAAATTTATCACATTTTCCCAGAGCCATTAATTGAGTCATTGCTCCCTATCCATGGATATGTAGCCCATTTGCTACAGGAGCATCAGCAGAGAAAGGAGGTCTCTGCTGAAGGACCACAGAGTATGAGTGAGCAATGGTTTCCAAGTGCTCAGCAAAGCAAAATACATTTTTACCGGAACAGTTAAAGGCCCCTCTTCCCCCTACACCTGTCCTCCTGCCAAAGCAGAGCTTCCTGGCTTCACCGCTGTGGCTTTAGAGCTGTTCTATAAGAGCCACATGCAATTTTTATAATGGGAAAAGCAACCTTTTTGCTTCACCTTATTCTCAAAAACAATGAGCTGTTTTCTTGCTCAAGCTTTATTAAAATTAATTTTTAAACATAAAGAGTCAGCAAGGACAGGAAATTTTTGCTTTAAAAGTGAAAGATTCTGAAGATATATGCAGCTGCTCAAATAACCCTGGAGTGGAAATGGCCATGAGCTGAGGAGGTTGGTATTTAAGCTGGCATGTGATTTTAAGCAACTAAGCAAGCCCTAAGAAACAAAAAAATCCCAAATCACGTGCTGCAGATGCTGGGCAAGTAACGAAACCTTGATAGCCCAGGACTGTAAACATGAGCCCAAATCAAGTAACTTCTACAGTAATACTTAAAGTGACACACTCATCCAGGAGCTTAGCAAACATAACCTAACACTGTTCTTAAATTGCCACAGTATTTCTCACAGTGTTTCTGTGTACACTCGGATGTTAATTTTTATGCTTTACAGTAGGAAGGGCATTGAATTATGAATGCTGTGGGAAACATAACACTGAAAAACACATCTAAATCTCAGTCTTAAGACTGTGCTAACATATCTTTTACATTTCATTTCCTTTAGGGGGAAAAAAAAGAAAAACACGAAAGGAACAAGTGGCCACTGTTGCCTTTGCCAGCAAAAAGAACTGAGATATCCCAGCGTGGGATATCTGAGAATCTCCATCACATACCCACTTCCTCTCTTACCAGCATTCTTAGCAAATATCACTGTGCAGACACACCCCAATGAGGTCTGCTCTGTGATACCTTCACAAAATCAGTCTCATGCAATAGTAGGAATTAGTGGGAAAGGAGAGCAAAGATGGGAAAAAGCTTTTCATCTTCACACATAACCTCAAGGATATTCTGGGTTTACGGCCTAGAAAAGAAATGACGTGAGGCAAAGTTTTATCAGCCAGTGACTCACGGACAGCTCAGGTCCCCTCTGTGGAAGAATCACAGCACAGATGTACATACAACAAGGTGAAAAAAAAACAACAGAGATGAGCAAAGCTGACATTCCCACTGAAAAGAGCCTTTATCACTCCTCAAGTGATACAGGAGCAAGGTGCAATAAAGACTCTTTACAGCCAAAATGCCATTTTGTTGACTAGTGACCTCCTGTCTTCTTTGCACTTTGAAAGTCATCTTAACTGACTTTCAAATGCATTCTTTCTGTTGCTTTTTTCTTTTTTCTTTTCTTAAGAGTTAGCAAAAAGCTCAGTTTAATCTGTCCTTTTCTTTGGTCCTGGGTACTTCAGAGGAATGTTACCAAGATCAGAACTGGGAGTTTTCTAACTCTAGATATCTCTTCATTATATACAATTTATGTATAAAGACATAAAGAATTCATATCTTTTTTTCCTCATAGAGGACAGAGAGGTCCATACAAAGAGCAGAACACCAAGGCTAACATGGAAAAACAAGCAGGTTACAAAAAGTAAGGCAACACTGTGCTCCTAGAACAGCATTCTTTATCTATACTAGTGCCAAGAAAGATGCTGCTGAGAAAAGTCAGAAACAGAGGGAATGAGTGGTACAGCTCTGAATAAATTTTATTACCTTTTAATCACTCAGGCTCTGCTTCTCTGAACTCTTCCATATAAAAAGGCTTAGGATGAAGGGGACCTTAAAGCCCATCCTGTTCCAACCCCTGCCATGGGCAGGTTATCACCACCAGCTCAGGTTGCCCAGGGCCCCATCCAACCTTGCCTTGGGCACCTCCAGAGATGGGGCACCCCCAGCTCTCTGTGCAGCTTGTGCCCATCATGACATTGCATTAGAGCAGTATAAAATGGAAAGAGATGAGCAGGTTCAAATCTGTATGACTGAAGCATCAGGAGGATTACACGATTCCCGCTTTTCCACCTGATGCTCCTCCATGGGAACCTGTTTGGTGCAGTCAGGCAGGTGTGTCTGTGTGCACACAGATACGTATGCACAGACGCTATATATGTCATCTTTCCAAAACACATTTGAGAAGATCTCACAGCTTCTAAAAACACAGACATGTTTTTGGAGCTATGTATTTTTTATAGTGTTTACAGTCTCCCATTCGGAAGTTTTTTCCTTCTCCAAAAACAAGCTTTGAGGAAAAGGCGTGAATTTTGGGGGTGGTCTGCCTCGTAAAGAGCCATGGAGCTCAGTGCCAGTCAGCTCTTTTCAATTATCAGGTCCAGGTGGGAAGTGTCAGGTGGTTCTCACAAAGGC